AAATCAACATTTGAGGCATTTAGGGCAATACCCCTTTCTTTCCAAAATCAATCGCAACTATCAAAATCAACCATTCATTCCCATCCCAACTCAACTTTATTTTCCAAGTCAAAATCATTTTCAAGGATCCATTTGAAAAAGCCCTCTTTTGATTTTTACCCAAACTCTAGATTTGTTCCAAATCTTCCAAAATCTCAATATTGTTTAGAAATAACAAATAACTAAGTTAAAACTCATAAAAAGTGTAGAGATATCCCTATCTCAAGCTTAGAAGATGAGAGAGAGAGTGTGGGAAACTCAGAGACGCCAAAAATCAACTTTGCTCCGATTAGAACGAAGCCCTCGCGAGCTCTACCTTTTTAACAAACGGACATGGGTGAAAAGATCGACGGATCTAGGTGTATTCAAGGAAAATAGGTGAGTTTTAGAGAGAGAGTGAAAGAAATTAGGGTTTTGAAATGTTCAGAGAGAGAAATGAAAAAGTGAATGAAAAATGGCTGTTTACGAACTGATATACGCACAGGTCACTCGAGCAAGAAGTGTTGCTCGAGCTTCCAGACACAATAAGTTTTACTGCTCGAGTGCAAAAAGTTTCGCTCGAGTGTAGAATACAAACTCTCAGTAGTTTTACAGACAGAGGACCGTCGCTCGAGCGCAAGAAGCTTTGCTTGAGCGAAGAATACAGACTTCTAGTATTTTTGCAGACCTGCAAAAGTATTGGAGATTCACAAAGACCGCTTGAGCGCAAGAAGTGTCCCTCGAGCGAAGGAACAAAATTCTAGGCAACAGCAGTTTAAAAACAAGCTACCAACCTGTTCCAATGTAACCAACACACCCAAAAAGCCAAACTCAAAGAGAGATAAGGGGAAACTAGACATGGATAACTATATAAGACAGTGAAATCCAGATCCAAAACATCAAATGAGTCTGGTCCAAACCGGAATTGCTATACGCTTTCATGTGATATCTTACATCTCATTTTCCTTTATCTTCATATATTTTACTTGTCAACATTGCGGACAACGTTTAATTTAGGTTTGGGGGTAAAGGGAGGTTAATAAATCTTGAATTTATGTGACTGCAAGTTTTTTTTAATTAAAAATAAAATTTGTCTATACTCATGGTATTCTTTCCTTTGTTGCATTTGGTGATTGAACTTAGTTGTGATATTTTTGTTGCCTTAGCATGAAAATTGGAAGAAGTTTATTTTACTAGCCTCTTTGTTAAAGTATTTCCAATATTCATCTCTGGAAATTATTTGCACTGCACTTTAGCCACATAAATTCAGTTTTAGTTAATGAGTAAATATGACTTGGAAATCTTGAAGAATAAAAGTGGAGACTTTTAACCCTTGTGAGTTCTCATGCCATTATTTCTTTGGAGGGTTATTATACATTTACTCTTAATTCTTTTTGTTGGAAGCACATTATATTGTTGATTAGTCTCATTATTCTTTGTTTTCGTTAAATACTGAGAATGCATTGATTTATTATCATACTTTTACTCCTTTGAGATCATGAAAATTGGAAGAACCATACGAATTCTTGAGAGATGATTCTAGGCCATCGGTGATTTTTTTGAGAATTTTATATTTCTTCTTTATTTCATTAACCACTAGACACCCTTTTGAGCTTTTATTTGGCCTTTCTTTGTTGAACCTAATACCCAATGTGTTTCAAGATGTTGAGATTATTATGTTAAGGAAAAGGGCAAATAAGTTTGAATTGGAAATTAAAAGAACAAGAAAAAGAAAAAGAGAAAAATAAAAATAAAAAAGGAACTCAAAGGAAAGGAAAAAACAAAAACAAAAACAAAAACAAAAACAAAAAAAAGATGAATATAAAATAAAAAAGAATGTTGAAATTGTGGAAGGAATGAGTGAATTATTTGCACTAATGCCCTAGTTTATTTATTTTTATCCCAATAAATTCTCTATCATTCATTTTTATTTGTTCACCTTTACCCTTTATTTTATATTGCCTTGACCTGTACATTATTTACAACCAAATAAAAGTCCTATTTGATCTTTGGAGTGGTATGATTTGTATGTGGACATGATTTAAAAGTGTGATGGTGTGGTAATTTTAAATTCTCACTATTTGACATTCCTTTCATGAGACTATATTTATTCTTTTTTATTAGCGTTCTTTTTCAAAGATCTATTATGCGAGATATTTTGATTTTGACTTACATTATTCCGCTCGTATATATATATATATATATATATTGAGGGTAATTTTGCACCTATTTCAGAGTGATTTATTTGTTGAGTGCATTATCCGGTGAGATTTGAGTCAGAGCATATTTCTAAAAGAAATTTGAGTTATGTTCTACTTTGAGATTGAAATTGTATTTGTGCTGGCTAAACTTATTCACACACTCCAGATTTTGAATACTGTGGGATATCTTTACTTGTTGCTAGTATTGGTTTTTCTGTTAAGGTGATGGGATTCATGGCTTTGCACTTGAACTGGTTGTATGAGAATGAAAGAAAAGTATTGAGGATAGTTTTTGAATTTTGTGGGTACATTTACTGCAAACCCTCACAAGACTATAACTCATCCACTAGGGGTAACCTAGGAGTTTAAAGGCTTGTTGCATATGCTAAATGTGATCAATAGACCTACAAAAGTGGAGTTCATTTTGTTTGTTTTTAATTTTTGCTTTGCTTGAATGGTTGAGTTTGTATTTCCATTTAAATTACATATATCAAGTAAATTATTGTAGACTTTTGAAAAGAAATTCTGCATGGGAGCTCTGCTATTAGAATTGTACGATTCGCGATTTGAATTGTATGATTCAATTTGATTCAGTGGGTAATCAATACGAAAAGGTTGTGTGAATTGCAAATAGTTATGAATCGTAGGTGAATCGGTGAACTGAATCGTGAACCTTGAATCGATTCGATTCACTAAAATCAATGTTTGGCTTTCTTTTTTTATTTTTTATCGTTGGAAAAGGGTTCACACAACCTTTTTAAGGTCTTTAGGATTATGTATGCCATGTTTTGACTTTCTCCCTCCCTATTTACTCTCAAATACTCAAACCTTAAGTGAAAAAAAAATGAACATTCTCAATAATATTCTAGGCGTACATATTCAATTTTATCTAAGTACTTGCATTTACAAAATGAATCTTTTGAAGGCATCAAATGAGATTTTTGAAAAAGTTTGAAGATATTGGTTTTTTAACCTTGTAAAAAGTTAAAACATTGTTGTTGAGTTATTGTTACTTGGAAATTGAAAGTTTGTTTGTTTGTTTTCTTTACTAAGAATGGTTGATAAGAAATAGTATCTAAAGGGGAAAATGTGAAGTGGTAAACATGAGGACTCGTGTTAATTCTTACCCAAATCACATGATGATCATTTAAAACAATATTTTTATTGATTTAAATCTAAATATTTCATATTTATTAGATATATTTAATATCTAAGTGTGTAGGTATATTTTCGATTCACGATTTGAATTCTGATTTGACAACTATGCATGGGAGTGACAAAACATTAAATCGATATTTTTCCATTAATTTTCATAAGTCAAATACAAAGATTCCTTGGTTGATTATCAGATTTCTTTGCAGGATTTCTTTTTTTTTTGTTCTTCTCTCTCTCGCTCTCTATCATTGCTTATAGTCAATCTGGTAAATCTAGGGTTTGATTTTCGATCAATTTTGATGCGATGAATTCAGATTTAGGATTTGATTTTAATTCAAGAGCTATTGTTTAGATCTAGGGTTTTGATTTTGCCTTCTTTATTAATTTCTTCTAATGTAACTGATTCTTGGTTCCTAGTTGAAATTGAAGAAAATTGAGGTATCCTACTCTTTCTCTACATGTGTATATATGAACATAAATATAGTTTCATTTATATAGAATTGTTTTCTTTTCTGATTTGTTGATTTGAGATTTTGTTTTTCAATTTTACAATGTTTTGGGCTTACTTTGCTTCTAATTTACATTGGGACATTTTATTAATGCAATTTTTGATGGTTGTCTTTTTCATAAGTTAAGCACTTTTTTATTATTATTTTTCAATTGGTGTTATATGATTTCTAACTAATATCTGTTGGTTTTGGATCCTTAACATTTGGAAACATTTTTTGTGGGGGTTTCAATCAGGACTGTTTCTATATGGTAGTTTTGATGCTTTGAATCCAATTTAGTTAGGTGTTTATGAAATTTGTGGAGGCAATTCTCTTATTTGGAAACATGTTTTGAGTTTTAGATGGTTTTGAAAACAAATGCAAATGACAAGCGAAAGTAACAGTTTGATTTGCTAGTAATATTTGTATTCGAAGCTGTTTAGTTGCTATATATACTCTGTTTTCATGGATCTCTTGTATTTGTTGTCAAATTTTTGTGCTTATTTATTCAACTTCTTGTTTGTGGTCTGGATTTCACTTTGAGCCATAGTCGAAGTAAAATATAATCTGGAAATGTGTGTATATTTGATGGTGTGTTTGTTTCTGAATAGTCTGATTTGGGCTTATTTATATTTTTGGACCACCCATTTGGTATTAGTACTTGAAGTCTTTATGCAACATAAAAGGGTTTTAAGAAATGGAAAGGCATGATGTGCTTCTTATTTGGTCAATGAGTTACAGGTTTTGAGAATGAAGTGTTTTTGGTTGGAACTTTTATTGTAGTGTGTAGAGAATTAAGGGAGCGTAACTTTCGTCCTATGTCAAACTCTCTTTTTTATTTTTATTTTTATCATTATTGGAAAATGTTTGAGACTTACAAAAAACTCACACAATTTAACCCACAATGATGTGATATAAAATTTGAATTTGAATTTGAACTTTAAACTTTCGCTTGTCATTTGAATTTGATCTTCAACTCCTTATAATTGTGCTGGATTATTACTATTGAGTATAATTTCTTTATTTATTATATTGCTTTTGTTTATTATGGCTGCTTATTATTGTCACATTATTGGGTTGTTGGTCGTGGTGGTTATCATATATATTTAGCCATGGATATGGATCAAAAAGGGCCAGGGAAGAACATGTGAATGTGGACAGATGAAGAGGATAGAGAATTGGTTTATGCTCTTTTTGACATGGTCAATACAGGAAATCACAAGGCTGACAATGATTTCTAGTCAGGCTTTCTTGGGGTGCTTGAAGGAGTGTTGCATGAGAAGTTGCCGGGGTGTGGAATTAAGGCTAAGCCACACATAGAATCTAGGGTCAAGACATTGAAAAGGGACACTGGAACTGTGTTTGATATGGTTAACGGAGTGGGCTGCAGTGGATTTGGATGGGATTCCAACACAAATATGGTGGTTGCTGAAAAACAAGTTTGGGATGGCTATGTGCAGGTATTATATTACCTTGAATTCTCTTCATTTCTTTCTTCCTATCTGTGGTGCCTTCCATTTATTTTCACTAGTCATTTGTTGCTGCATTGCAGAGTTATTGTCATTGTTATCTATGAACCTGATTTAAATAGTGTCATTATCATTGATCATAATGCGTTTCTTTCTATCCATGTCAAGTCAACCTTTGCATTGATTGTTAAACTCATATTAAAGTTGCTGTTAGCAATGCTAGTTCTTGAATTTCATACAAAATGCATATTTTTTAAGAGAGCCAGCTACACATATGAACACAACAACCATATTAACATGCATGTTCTGTATATTCTTTTCAAACCCAATAAAATTTAATCTATAAACAATCAAAGCATGGTGTATTTAATGATTTATAACCAGATAGGACTGTAGGCATACCTGAGGTTATGAGTAAAGACTTTGAAGATCTGACCTGTTTTTAAATTCACTCTGATCAAGGACAGATTAAGAAACATTTAGATAATTGTCCTGCATCTTTCTTTTGTTCTCCTTTCTCACCTAATCACTACTTCAGCTTCTTTTACTGGGAGCCATACGGCTGTCCATGTTATTGAGGTACACAGTGGTTTCTAGATAGGTCTTTATTATCTATAATTAGCACACTATTTGTGCTCATTGGAAGTGGTGGTCTGCTGGGTTCAGGAATGCACCAAATGAATTTAATATTATTATTATTGGGTGGTTGGTAGATTTCTTGGGAAGTCTAAAAGGCTTGATGGTTTATCCATACTCATGTATTTATATATATACAGATGTGATGAGGCTTGTGTGTGCTTTTGTGGGACAAAAAACAGTGTGTGCAATGGTATAGCAACACTACATTGTGTGTAGAGCGATACAAAAACATTTAGAAATTTTCGTAAAGAATCATTGGTGTGTTTGTTGCGGGAGCTATTATTGTTTGTCTAATAATGATGTTTGTGTTTGGATTTTAAACTTTTTTGATAGCATGATTCATTCAAGATCGTTGTTGTGAATTGAGTCAATTTCTCTAAGAATTGTTTCTATTTTACATCAGTGTTAAGCTAGTGAATTGTGTAACTTCAGCTCTTGTAACGTGACTAGTTTATTTTACAAAGGTAGATTGATCTCGTTGCTTGATTTTTACTAAAATTAAAAGAATTTAAATTAAAATTTTGTGATCCATGATAGGTCAATTATTATGTTTTATCATTCATGTTTTATTCACATGACCACACTAGAATAAATTTAGTATAAATCAATTATCTATGCTTTGTGGTGTCTTGTTATTAAAATTAAATATTGCTGCAGAGCCACAAGCGTGCTGCTTACTGGAAAAATAGGAGTTTCCCACATTGTGACATGTTGTGCATCATCTTCGAGAAAGATCGTGCTACAGGAAAAGATGCGGTTACTGCTGATGATGTCTTGGAGGAAGGGAGCAGAAATGAGAGCATTGACACACAAAATTTGAGTGTTGAAGAAATCGATACATTTTCGAATGCTTCCATCAACGATGAAGGAAACAGTAATAAAGGAAAGAAGAGGAAGAATAGTAGTGACAGTTCGGATGCCTTTCGTGAAGCAGCTATGATTATTGGCACCAAGATTGAAGAAGCAACAGATAAATTCGGTCGAGCACTAGGTGTGAATTTGGATGTAGCTTTGAAGAGGGACAAAATCAACGAGGAGCTTTGCAAGCTTTCCAATCTATAGAGGGTTGAGTGCTGCGGAGCCATGCTCGCTATAGCACGTGATCATGAGGTTACTACTTGCTTCTTCACCTTGGAAGATGATGAGAAAGAATAATTTGTGAAGGCTTTACTTAATGGAGATCTCTATGTCCATTATTATTACTTTGCTATATTCCTGTTTATTTCTTTGTTGATACTAGCTAATGTGTTGGATCTTGTTGCTTTCTTTTTTTTTTTTTTGATGGATTCGATCTTCTTACTTGGATGATGCTATTTTGTGCATGTTATTAATTTTGAATTGTTGGGTGATTACTACTTGAATTTTGATAATGTATGTGATGTTTAAGTTTGTTACTTTTTGGGTACTTAATGATAATTTATCAAAACAGGTGCAAATCATGTGTTGTGTAGCTTGAAAATACAGGCCTTTATGTCCAAAATTTCTTAAAATTATTTATTTTTTTTTTAAAAAAAATGTATAAAAAATCATGATTGGGGTATTTTGGCCAATTTACTACAAATTTCATTTCATTCCAATCATCATTACATAGGAATTGGAATGGCAATTCCATTCGTACATTGATTCCTATGTTATTTCCAAACACATTCATATCTCATTCCATTTCAAATCTATTCTAACCATCATTCCATTGCCATCTAGAACCATTATAATCAATCAAACATAACCTAAGAGTGCAGCCTCCAAACCCAGCAATTTCACCACATCATAAGAATGGGGTATTTTGGCCAATTTATTGCAAATTTCATTCCATTCCATTCCCAATCATCATTGCAATTTCACCACATCATAAGATTGGGGTATTTTGGCCAATTTATTACAAATTTCATTCCATTCCATTCCAATCATCATTACATAGGAATTGGAATGGCAATTCCATTCTTACATTGATTCCTATGTTATTTCCAAACATTGGAATAGGAATGATTATTCCTATCTCATCCTATTCCAAATCCATTCCAACCGTCATTACATATAACCTCAGAGTGTAGCCCCCAAATGCAACAATTTCACTACATCATAAGAATGTGAAACTTTGTTTCAGTTCATCACTTGCTTTCCTCTGTTCATGATCAATTGGAATTGTTAAAGCTGGAACAAACAGCCCACTATTATCTTTGGTTTTGCAAGGTTCAAAGTTGTGCACATCTAATGGAACAAACAGCCCACTATTATCTTTGGTTTTGCAAGGTTCAAAGTTGTGCACATCTAAGTCAGCTGGTAACAGCCTAACAGGCAACAAACCTTGCTGGAAAATCCTAGCCAACAACAATGGGTGTTCTCCTCTTCCGCTCTGCACGCGCATCTTCCGCCCCTCTTTGCTTAGATTTTTTCCGGCCCGTTGAGGAAGTGGAGTGGGGACGGGTTTTTCTTTCCCCGGCCCATTCTATTCAGCCTCACCCCAAGTATACTTATTAAATATATTTATATGTGTAGAATATATATAATTTAATTTTTGTGTCACTATAGTAAAATTAAAACACTAAAATATTATACTTAATAGTAATTTCTATTAATTTATTTTCTACCTTATATGTTATAATTGTTTTTAAGTATAAATTATTACTCACAATATACAATAGTACATATAATTTTCATTATTGAACTTATCAAATTAACCCGTCACCTGTCTCACACCCGCAACGCCATCGACATTCTCCGATTAGTCCTAACCCTGATATTAAACGAGATGAGCATGGATCACAACAAATCTATCCCAAACCTAGGTTGTGACCATTCCTGTGAATGTCAATTAATAGTTTATTAAAGATGGTGAGATAAGATGCTGAGTTCTTAGATCTACTGGCAAAGGTCTTGTATGGCGTTCACTTTGATTGGCCTGGAGCACCATCGGTCAATGGTGACATGGTGTTCCAAGAGCACCCAATAATTTCTCCTTTCCTACCCTCCCTCTCTCTGTATCTGGGAAAATAGTAATACTACAAACTCAAAATTATCTACTCAGTATCCAGAAACAAAAATTCATTTCATTCGTAGTTCATCAATTTAATCTGCACCACATTAGGGATGACTATTTTAGTCCAATTCGCGGAGAGCCGCCCATACTTGTCCGAATGGGGCGGATTTTATCAGACCCGACACTTATGTGGGGTGGGGATAGATTATATTTTGGCCACTCACAATGGGGGTGGGGTGGAGACGAGTATTGTGTCCCCCGGTTCAAATCCAACCCGATATAATTAATAATACTAGTGGGCAACACATGCGATGCGTGTGCAATTCAGATAATTAATAATAAAAATAAATAATAAAGAATTTAATATCATAATATGTATGTTGCTTAAGTGATAAATATGTTCTTAATGAAATTCAAGGTCTTGAATTCAAAACTTACTTATGTTGTGTACAACAATTTTTTTATTTTAGCATATATAAAGTTGCCACGTGGCATGAAGAGAATAATGTTTCACTAAATCAATTTCGACCTTCACTTAATAATAGTATAGAGATATAAATAAATAACATATTAGTATATATATATAATTAGATAATAATTATATTTAATTTTGTTTAAATATAAATAGATAATAATTCTAAAAGTCTCACTGTTTATATATAGAGGAAATATCATTTTGCCCCCCAAACTATCACGTTTTTTTCACGTTGACATCCATACTTCGATTTATTTCAATTTAGTACCGAACTTTCCACAAATTAATCAATTAGACTCATGTTGTCACCTTCCATCTACAATTGGACGGAATGTGCTGACGTGACATTTAAAATTTCATTTTACTCCCCAAATTATACCTTAAAAATCAATTTACCCCCCAAATTAAAAATCAATTTGCCCCCCACATCAGCGCATTCGGTCCAATTATGGACGGAAAGTGACGGCAGGAGTCTAATTGATCAATTTGTGAAAAGTTCAAGTACTAAATTGAAATAAATCAAAGTATAGGAGTCAACGTGAAAAACACGTGATAATTTAAGAGAGAAAATGATATTTACTCTTATATATATGGAAATAAAAGAATTTTTTTAGGTGTTAAAGATTTAAATAGTTATCAATTCTTTTAACTATTTAAAATAGGGTCGGATATCCGTGAACATCCGCAAGAGTGGAAATGAGATTGAAAAATTTCATCCATAGTGGGATTGGAATGGGAGCAAGGGTAGGGATGGTTTTTAAAACGGGGCCAAGAGCGGGAGATGTCACTCACCTCAAACATGGCCACCGCTATACCACATATACTCCATATACTCTATTGTGAATAAATTAATTTTGGAATTCCATACTTTTCCTAAGAAAAAAGATTGTTCCACACAAATTTCTTAGCCCGACTTGTCCGAATTACGTCGCAGCATTCAAAATTCAAGAAAATTGACCCTTTTCCCCTCCTTTATCTCTTTCTCTGAGACGCCTCTCCCTCTCTCTCTCTCTCTCCCCCCGCGACCAATTTCTCTGATTGGGGCGTTTTGAATATTTTAGTCCCACTTTAGGGTGTGTTTTTAACTTTATTCTCATATTAGGGTAAAACGGTTTTAGAAATACCGTTTTCTAAAAAACGGTTTTTGAAAAGCCGTGTTTTGGGATTAAAATAATAATAAAGTTTGAACATGGAAAACGGCTTTAGAAAAGCCGTTTTAATTAAGTTTTTAATTAATTCTAAATTAATTAAAAACGGTTTTGGTAAAACCGTTTTTACATTAATTTTTTTTAATTTATATTTTTAGCATAAATATTTTTTGACCAAAAATATTTTTAATAAAAAACGGTATTAGAAAAGTCGTTTTAGAAAACGTATTTACCAAAGCCGTTTTTACATTAATTTTTTTAATTTATATTTTCAGCATAAATATTTTTTGACCAAAAATATTTTTAATAAAAAACGGTTTTAGAAAAGTCGTTTTTACATTAATTTTTTTTAATTTATATTTTCAACATAAATATTTTTTGACCAAAAATATTTTTAATAAAAAACGGTTTTAGAAAGATCTATAATAGCGCTTTAGCCTAGTTTGGGAATTCCGTCCAAATTAGGCCTAGTTTAGGAATTAAGATGATAAATTAGCTTAATATGGGAAAAGCCCCGAAATATAGTGCACATTAAAAAAATAAATAAATATTTAAAACATAAAATATTTATTCCCACTCTAGGGTGGGTTTTGTAAACACTTTGAAATTTTGGAAATTTTTGAAAAGTGATTTTGGAATTTTTTTTCAAAAAATTTGAACTACACAAAATTTTAAAAAAATTTCTCAACAATTATATCTTAAGATACAAACCAAACAAGCCCTAGGTTTGAGTTTTCTGAATTAAGTTTTTTGAAAACTGAGTTTTTTGTTTTTAGTGAATATTTTTAAAATTTAAGCATTTTTTTTTTACTTTTTGAGATGCATTTTACTTTTTTAGATGTGTCCAACCTTCCCACATAGAAAAAATAATTAAAAAAAATATTAAAACCGTTTTTTATTAAAAATATTTTTTGTCAAAAAATATTTATGTTGAAAATATTAATTAAAAAAATTAATGTAAAAACGATTTTTCTAAAACCGTTTTTTATTAAAAATATTTTTAGTCAAAAAATATTTATGTTGAAAATATAAATTAAAAAAAATTAATGTAAAAACGACTTTTCTAAAACTGTTTTTTATTAAAAATATTTAAGTTGAAAATATAAATTAAAAAAATTAATGTAAAAACAGCTTTTGTAAATACGTTTTCTAAAACGACTTTTCTAATACCGTTTTTTATTAAAAATATTTTTGGTCAAAAAATATTTATGTTGAAAATATAAATTAAAAAAAAATAATATTTATGTTGAAAATATAAATTAAAAAAAAATAATATTTATGTTGAAAATATAAATTAAAAAAAAATAATATTTATGTTGAAAATATAAATTAAAAAAAAATAATATTTATGTTGAAAATATAAATTAAAAAAAAATAATATTTATGTTGAAAATATAAATTAAAAAAAAATAATATTTATGTTGAAAATATAAATTAAAAAAAAATAATATTTATGTTGAAAATATAAATTAAAAAAAAATAATATTTATGTTGAAAATATAAATTAAAAAAAAATAATATTTATGTTGAAAATATAAATTAAAAAAAAATAATATTTATGTTGAAAATATAAATTAAAAAAAAATAATATTTATGTTGAAAATATAAATTAAAAAAAAATAATATTTATGTTGAAAATATAAATTAAAAAAAAATAATATTTATGTTGAAAATATAAATTAAAAAAAAATAATATTTATGTTGAAAATATAAATT